TTATGTTGTGGTTGCGAGTGTGTGTGTGATGTAGGTTCGAGTGCGGGTGTGTGTGTGGTGTGGGGTTTTGTGCGTTGTGTGTCCTGAGGTGGGTTGTGCTATGGTGTGGTTGTTTACGTGTTGTGGGTTGTGATTGGGTGTTGTGTGTTGTAGTTGTGGATATATGTGTGGTGTGGGGATGTGTGTGTTGTGGATGCTTCATTAGTGTATAGCCTTGCAAAGGGGGTGCCTTGTATTTAATTGCCTCAAATGAAAAAAATATGACAAGGGATTTTATCAGCCCCATTGTTATTTGAAGAGTGGGTTGTGTTGTGGTGTGGTCTGTCTGTGCTGTGGGTTATGGGATGTGGTTGTGAGATGTGTTGTGGTTATTGGTGTGTGTGTGTGGGGTTGTGTGTGCTGTGGGTATTGATGTGGTTGTTTTGTGATCTAGTTGTCTGTGGGTACTGTAGGTCGTGGTTGGGTGTTATGTGTTATGATTGTGGGTGTGTGTATGTGTGTGGTGTGTGTTTGTTTGTGTTGGTGTGTTTCATTGGTGTATAGCAGTGTTAGGGGTGCCCTGTATTTAATTACTTCAAATGAAAAATATCAGATGATTTTAATCAATTCCTTTGATGTTTTAGTGACAATTTGATAAATGGATGTAAAATGGTGCTTGCTTTGTTCATAGCATTCTTTCGGATGGCATGTTTGCGATTATCTCTATTCAATACTACACTTTTTTTTTGAGCTATGAATTGAAAAATGGATGAAATATGATGCTTCATATGTAGATAACAACATTTCGTGTGGTCTGTATGTAATTTCCTCAAATTAAAAATATGGAAAGGGGTTTTATAGTCTCTTTGCTATTTGAAGAATGCATGATATAGATGGGTGCTTCATTAGGTCGTGGGTTGTGGGTTAAGGTTGGTTGTTGTGTCATGATTGTGGGTGTGAGTGTGTGATATGGGTGTGTGTGTTGTGTGGGGTTGTGGGTGTTGTGGGTTTTATTGTGGGTCTTGTTGTGGGATCTGGTGTGGTGTGATTGACAGTGTGTGTTGTGGGTTGTGGTTATTTGATTTTAATATTGACAGTGTGGAGTGGGACTGTGTGTTATAGGTGCTTCATTAATATATAGCAGTTTTTGGGGTGCCTTGTATTTAATTAGCTCAAATAAAAAATATGGGAAGGGTTTTTATCAGTCTGTGTAAGGTGTGTGATTGTGTGTTGTAGATCTTATTGTGAGTTCTGGTGTGGTGTGGTTTTGTGTGTATTTTGTGGGTTGTGATTGTATGTCTGGTTGTGGTGGCTAACTATTGTGGTGTGGTTACTGTCAAATATTAATTTTTTTTCATTTGTTAGTAAAGCAATGATTAAGACTAAAGAAGTCAACTCTTCGGCAATATGGGCTAGGGAAGCCAAACTCATATTTTGTGACCTCTGTCATAAAGAGGTTGAGCTGAAAAATAGGCTCACCACCTATTTTAGCAAGGGTGGAAAAATATTATGAAGTAGTTCAAAAAAATGACAAGATGGGAGTACGATAGATTGCAATTTAAGAATAAGTAGGATCAGCTGAAAAATGACTGGAAATTATGGAAAGAATTAAAACGGGGATCCACAGTGCTTTGGTTGTGATCCAATCAAACGCACTATTGATGCTTCAGAGGAATGGTGGGCCGAAAAATTGAAGGTAACAAATTCTCCATTGAAGACTTGTTTTTCATTACTTTATCCTCCTAAACTATTTGAAGTAATAAACTTACCCATATGTTGTAGGCAGTGTCACCCACCAAAAAATTTAAATTCAGTGGAAATCACCATGATCTAGAAGAGAAGTTAAATCGTATGTTTAGTGAGATTGTGGCATCGGGGAAATGCCTGGACCCCTAATGAGCAGAGATTTGGAGGCAGGCCAGAGGATTTGGGTATCGAACAGGTAGCTGGCTCCAGTGCAGGCCCAAGCCCAAATCGAAATGAACTGGAGTGCAAATGCAGGTCAAAGCGACTTAGGTTAGAGAAAAAGAAAAAAGGTGTTGTTTTCATCAAAAGTCAAATATCAAAACCGATGGCTTCATGCACTAGTGAGCCTGGGCCTTCAAATGAGAACTCGGTAGACGACTTTGTCCGAGTTATGGAGACACTCCCGAAATCTATGAGAACATGTCGTTATATCTGAACTCCTTGAAATTGTTGGAGGACCCCACCCGTAAACAGATCTTCCCCCGACCGCAGAGTTAATTATTTGTGTTTCTTATTTGCCAGCAAGGACATTTGATTTATTCAGTTATTATTATACCGCTTGAATTTATTTTCATGTAGTTTTATCGAATTTATGATTAGCTATTGTCTTTTTTTTCGTGAGAACAAATTATTTGTTATTTTATATTTATTTCTTCTTATTGTACACTTTGTAATTTCATTTTTGATATTTTTTAATAAAGTGAGATTGGCATGTATTACATGTACAGAGCAGTTCTTTAGCATGGACTCACAAAGAGAGAGACACATAATAAAATATGTTGTTGCAGTTTGCATGTTCTATGAGTACTACAACTCATAAGTTGATCAAACTCCTTGCATGTCATATATTACATTGGCGATAAATGAGTTGGGGAGCTACTACAATGACACCCTATAACATACAACATTTATTTATGAATCTGTCTGATGAACTACATAGGAATTATGGACTATGTGGGTTCTCGAGAATGGCAATCAGAGAGGTGTTAGCAATAACCCTCTACATTTTATCACAGAATGAATCAATGAGAGTAGCGATGGAGCAGTTTCAACATTCATCTAAGACAATCAGCAGATATTTCACTGTGGGGTGTAGACTCTAGGTGCCCGCAACAAATCACGAAGACCTGTGACTTCTTCTGGTGGGCGGATAGGCTCAAAAAACCAACCGCCGAGAGTGACCAGGGGTGCAGACTATCCCTGGAGGATGGCATAACTACCAAAATACGTAGTCTTCACTTTAAAATTAATATTATCATATTACTAAATGTTATTTTAATATTTTTTTCCTTATTGTAATAATCATGATATTCATTATTAAGTTAGGTGTATATATTATTTTTTGTATTGTTCTTAAGTAGATTTTTGTTTCTTTAGTATCAAATATATTGTTATGACAGTTTCGTTGCAAACAGCATTACTGCACAAGAGCAGAATGGTCATTTATCCAGAAATAGCTGCAAAACAGTTGTTTTCTAACAGCAGAAACAGCATTACTGCACAACAGTTTTTCTACGACAGCTGCTTATCAGCAGTTTATTAATAAGTTGTGGCTACCCCAAATAGACCATAAATCAGTCGACTTTATAGTCCACCACCTTGAAGGGTAGAATCGGTCTCATTAGAAAAAGATAGCAATGTTCAAAAAATCTTAGAGCAGATTAAGGTAGGCAGTGTGGAGAAGTATGTGTTAGATCAAGATGATTTATTGAAATCTAAAGGCATAATTTATGTTGCTGATGTTGATAATTTGAGACAAGAAATTTTAGAGGAGACATACTTATCTTATACTATTCAGCCATAAAGTAATAAAATGCATCAAGATCTTAAAGAAGCATTTTGGCGGCCATGATTGAAGAGGAATGTGGTAGAATTTGTGGCTCCTTCATGTCAACTAGTGAAGGCAGAACATTAGTGCCTTGGTGGCAAGTTACAAAATTTACCGATTCCAGAGTGAAAATGTAAGAATATTGTTATGGAATTTTTTATTGGATTGCCTAGGTTTCATCAGAGTCGTAATACCATTTGGATAATTAGTGACAGATTGACTAAGTCAGCTCATTTCTTTCACAGAATATAGACTGATCCATTTGAGAAACTAGCCAAGTTGTATGTGGATCAAATTGTGAGATTGCATGAAGTGTCAATATCTATTATCTCCGACAGATATGACAGATTTACTTCCAGATTGCGGAAGAAGATTCAGAAAGTTTTGAACAATAAATTGACTTTAATTAAAGTACTTCACTCCCAGACAAATGGTTGATCAGAGAGGACTATTCAAATTTTGGAGTATCTACTAAGGTTATATTTTCTTAGTTTTAGTATAGAATGAGCCTTTAGTAAAATTTGCTTACAATAACAGTTACTAGACTATCATTAGGATGGCTCCATATGAAGCATTGTATGAAAGAAAGTGGCAAACATCATTTTGTTACACTAAAGCAGGTGGATGAATGATCATTGGAGCTGACTTAGTTGATGATGTTGCTGAAAAGATTAGACTGATCAGCAATATATTAAAAATGAAATGAAATGAAAGGAAATGAAAGGAAAGATATGTCACATAATATCTCCAATAATCAATTCATATTAATTATTAGGAGATATAGAAAATAACGTAAAATAGGAAAACAAACAATTCCTAATCCAAGTAAATAAATATAAAATAGGAAATGAAATATCTTCTTAATCTAAGGAAATAAATTATTCCTCATAACTTCTTATATGAATAAATTATTTCCTATTATAATTCCTTTGCAAATTTAGACAATAAAAAAAAATTTCATGAATGCAAGAATTCTTACAATAAGATTTCAAAATGTGTGGGATTTAAAAGTTCAATAAAAAAAAGATTTCATGAATGCAAGAAATCCTTACAATACAATTTCAAAATGTGTGGGATTTAAAAGTTCATTTTAAAAATCCGTTCATAAATTGTTAGACCAGTTTTAGAATTCTTTTTGTCAAAGGCATGCTAGTTTTAAATTAGTTACTGCAGTTTTCTAAAGATGCACAAGCTACTTTGCAGGTGTATTGCTCATGATATTTAAGCCATAGAAGAACAATTTCATCACCAACACTCATCCTGCCCAATCCTTTTGAAAAAGAATATATATATATATATATA